TAGGCTGATAAGCAACTTCAACAAAGTCTCAGGATACAAAATCAATGTGCAAAAATCGCTAGCATTCCTATACACCAACAACAGGCAAGCAGAGAGCCAATCATGAATGAACTCCCATTCACAATTGCTATAAAGAGAATAAAATACCTAGGAATACAGCTAACACGGGAAGTGAAGGACCTCTTCAAGGAGAACTGCAAACCACTGCTCAAAGAAATCAGACAGGACACAAAAAAATGGAAAAACATTTCATGTTCATGAATAGGAAGTCTCAATATTGTGAAAATGGCCATAGTGCCCAAAGTAATTTAGAGAGTCAACGTTATTCCCATTAAACTATCATTACAGGAGAATGAGATAGGAGACCGGGTTAGGATGAAGAAGGATGGATTTCATTTTGAACACGTTGAGTTTCTCATGTCTTTGAGACAGTGGGCAGTGGGCTACCCAAAGGCAACTCAGAGATCTGGAGCAGATATAAATGAAGAAGTGGAGAGCACACAAATGGCCACTGAAACCCTGGATCTGGATGCTGCTGTTGAAAGGCAGAGCACAGAACAGGAGGAGAAGAGAAGAGGGACTTGGAGCCTTTAGGAGCATCAACATTTAATGGCTTGGTAGAAAATGATGAGGAAGCTGAGGAGACTAAGGAAGAAGGGCTGAGAAATCGAAAAAGAAAGAAAATCCAGAAGAGTGTGTTGGGGGAGTGTGCTGGTTCTCGAAACACAACAAGAGAGATTTGATAAGGGCATAAAAAGTCAGTGGTGCCCTTTGAAGGGTGACGTGGTCATACAGACTGACATGAGCAATGTCATCAGTGACTTAGGGAAAGCTGTTTCCATGAACTAATGGTGATAGGAACCAGCAAATGGAGATGAAAAGCAGCATCAACTCTTCTGAGAACGTTGGCTAAGATGGAAAGAGGGGAAAGGTGTCAGCTGAGTAGGTTTGTAATATTAGGCTATCAAATTTTTAGGAGCTACATTTTTTAAGATGGAAGAGGTTTGAACATGGAAAATGGGGAAACCAGTGAAGCAGGACTTTGATCAGAGAGGTAGGAGGTGAGACAGAGGAATGTAACAAGGAACAACAGTTATAAAGCTAAAATTCTGATTCAGTCTTGATTAAAATGAAAATAAAACATGCTCTGATAAGACGACTTCAAAGGATAATCTGCTTGGCATATCTTGATAATTCAAAACACTGTATTGGTTATTTCCATTCTTAGCAAGAGAAGAAAGAAGACAGAAAACATCAATATCCCAATGGTTGAAATCACAATGACCAAGAAGCAAACTTGGAAATCAGCTAGAAGGGCCAAAGGTTTTATTTAAGTTAAAAATTTTACATGCCATGTCTTGCTGTCATGAATTACAGCTACTCTCTTGAACATTTACAAAAATAGGACAAGAGGCTTTCAAAGATATTCAAGTCTTAACTCCAAAATTTTGTTTGATCACCCAGGTCTGAACTCTCTCATTGCATAACTACTGTATACCATACATAAAATGACACTTCTCAGAAAATTTCATTTTTTCTTTAGCTATAAAATATAATTTTAAAAAACTCTCTGTAAGTATAGGTATAGATGTAGATATAGGAATAGATATATTAATTATAAAGATAGACTAACATAGTTATAGGCATAGATATACATTTAAACAAAGGTATGATATTATGAGCTCTTCTGTTGATAAAAAAAAGTTTAAGGCCTTTTGGGTGTGGTTTACATTGTGCTTGTAATAGATTTTAATCAAAACACAATATAACACAAGTTTTTAATCTGAACTTGATTTCTTCCATAGTATAAATTAAGAAAGGAACAAATGAGAGATGGGATAACCCATGGTGTTAAGGGCTACAGAGAGGTCAAGGGAGGAAATTCCAGGAAAAGGACTCATTCCTGGATGACAGGGGAGTTTGATGGTCTTTTCAATTGTGCTGCACAGAAAAAGATGTATGGGAGAAAATGAAATTTCAGGGAAAGATTAGGTGGTGAAAACAAGCTTGCAAAACTAAGAACAGAAAAAGTGAGGGTGTCAGTCTTAAGTGAAAATTCTTCTGGAGAAGATGGGAGGGGAGAGAAAAGGGGGAGAGATGAACACCAGTGTATTAGTGAAAGATAAAGGGAAATGTTTGACATTGAGCTATTAGCTAGTGTTATCAATCATAGCCCCCCATTTTTATCTGTTTTTGACCTATTTTCATTTTCTTTGGGCTCCTCTGGGAACAAAGATATCTTTGTGAAGCCTTTACTCCCTTTCATCATTCAATAATCACTTCTATTTTTCAGCATTTACTAAAAAGGCTGTTTCTCAGCCCTGGGAATGCACTGGCATTAAAGGTGAGAAACAGAAGCTGTACTTTCAGCTCTTCCAAAGAAAAGCACTTCAGAAATCAAAGGCATTGCTATATTGTTATTATTCTCTCCTTCCCCTGAAGGCTTGGCATGACATATTTTTGATGCTCAAAGAGAAGTCTTTTCGTTTAGCCATTATATTAATAATCTGTGACTCTAAAAAAGGAATGGATATACAAATTGATCAACCTAGCCTAATCATCTCCTCTTTCCCTTAGTTCCAGAGCTATGGATCTGAGCCAAGAATCAGAAATAGGAACATTGTAACTCATTTCATCTCCCATGTAAATCACATCCAGCAATGCATAATTGTGAGGGAGGGCAGAGAGCCAAGCCCCATCAGCTCTGTGAAAACAGATCCACAACCTCAACAGGCATTGATAGCATGAGATGTTAATTCATGAATAATCCTTCCACGTTTTTACACTGTTATATAACCAGTTGCTTTTTATAATGATATTGGAATAATGAATAATTGGAATGATGAGTTGAGGACAAAATATGAAGTTATTTTAAAAATAAGTAATAAATAGATCTAAGAAAAGTACCAGTTATTCTCTATCAAGACAAAAATGGATGAATCTTAACAATACTCAGAAAAAATAATAACTAGGAGAACTCCTAGTTAACATTTTCCCCACTTAGATAGCTCCTTACATCTAAGGTATCACCCATAGGGAAGTATCTAATAACAGCCTGA